GTAAAAGACAATCGAACCTGAAATACTCAGACGGGCGACCAAACCCACACGCCCAACACCCGAAACGGAGATCTCCCGAAGAGGCACCGACGATGACCGAATACACCGAACGAGGCCAGATTCACAACAGGTAAGAGCTTAGAATCCTAGCACTGATACCATGACAAAAGACCGAACAATTTGCGTGAAATTTCTGTCCCAAAAACCTTGCTTTACATTGTGTTGTGTATAGTATATATATTTACAGTTATTTGATCTAAAAGGAAACTAAATAAATTCCCTGAAAATTAGCGACAAATCAATCTCCCAAATATTCGTCGTTATATATGGTAACAGTACTGATGTATTTGTGCCCAATGGTTTTGATCCTCTACGAAGAATCTTGTCAAATATTTTGCTAATTTGATCATTTGCAATAAATTGCTTTCATATCCACTGAATCATTTAAGTAGTATTTTGAAATGTAGCAGATTTAAGTCAATAATAGGTTGGTAGGTCCCAATCAGAAGCTGATAGTCACACTGAATTTAGAATTATCTTAGGGTGAGAACATGACCACAATTTACTTAATTGAATGCTTTTGTTTATTGAAATTGAAAGTGTGGTTTATATATGCAAAGCTTAAAAACCATGTTCAACTTAAATGTAGAAATAAGTGGCATAGTACTTCCTAAGAAATGTCTAACAGTAATGCAAAACAGATTAAACGTGCAAAACATAAATGTAAATTGAATGCTAAACAAAATGCAAATAAATTTCTAGTGTTCTAGGATTCAACAGGTCATGGACTCGGAATTCTTCTTTGGTCCTCTGCTTGACCTTCGTGGTTTAATTAGTATTTTGAAATGTAGCAGATTTAAGTCAATAATAGGTTGATAGGTCCCGGTCATAAGCTGATATTCACACTGAATTCAGAATTCTCTTAGGATGATGAGAACAGGACCACAATTTACTGAATTGAATGCTTTTGTTTATTGAAATTGAAATTGTGGTTTATAAAGGCAAAAACTAACAACCACGTTCAAATTACATGCAGAAATAAGTGGCCTAGTTCTTCCTCTGAAATAGCTAATATAGCAGTAATACAACACAGAATAAACGTGCAAATCATAAATTTAAATTGAATGCTAAAAAAATGCAAATAAATTTCTAGTGTTCTAGGATTCAACAGGTCACGGACTTAGGATTCTTCTTTGGTCCTCTGCTTGACCTTCGTGGTTTATCATAGGTTGCACAAAAAATATTCAAGCTTGAGAAGTTTGCATCTTTTGTCACAATTGTTGTTGAGTATTGTGCAGAACAAACCAGTCATCCTGTACTATTTCTACTAGATTTATTAACATCTGTTGTTTTAGGTATACAATATTTGCCACTCACATGGAAAACCTGTCAGAATTGGCCACCATTTATCCAAATCTAAAAATCCTTCACTTTCATGTCGACATTAAAAATAGCCGTATGGATTTCAAGGTATGATATTTGATTTCTGATTACTTGATCTCCATACTCGTGTTTGTGTCTGTTACGCTATTCTTACTTCAATTGTTTGTACCAGTTTCAACTGAAAGATGGACCACGACATGTACCACATTATGGTCTTATGTTGGCAGGAGTGGCTGGACTACCTAGTTCAGTTATAGAGACTGCAGAAAGAATCACATCAAGAATCATGCAAAAGGTAATCCACAGCGACAAGTTTGGTGTCATTTTTTGAGATATTTCATTGGCTAAGGCCATTGAGGAACACCAAATCTAGTATTTGGTGTAATTTGGTGTAATCTCTTCAATAAAAAAAGCCACACGGACAGGCCAAAAAACATGCTTAAATCCGGGGCGCAATGTGGCACCCCCTATTGGAGGGGAGGCTGTTAACCAATATGGGGGCGCCATGTGGATTTAAGCTTTTTTTTGGCCTGTCCAAAAAGCAGGCTTCACTCTTCAATAGTTACACCAAATTTCACACCACATTTTATTTGAATTATTTAATTACAAATTTAAACTATTACAAAAATCGTTAAATTAGAAATTATATTGAATGAATTAAAATATTACATTTATTAATAAATTGAAAATGTTGTAACGATAATCATTATTTATTAATTTACGAGTATTTAAAAATAAATGCTAAATAAAAATAACCATCACGTTAAAATAACTATAAATCAAAGTAAAATATATTAATTCAAAAATATAAAAATGGGTTATGGATTAAATAAATATTTGTTGAAAAGGGGAAGGAAGGGCAAAATGAGGATTATTGAAAATTCTCAAATTTGGTGCAACACTATTCATTACACCAAATATTGCATTTTACACTGAAACACCAAAAGTCCCTCATTGGAGATAGTCTAGGTCTAAGAAATATGGTTTTACTTATTTCATGAAGTCTTTCTGCATGCTTAGACAAATTGTACGTTTGCAGAAGATGCTTGTTGATTTCTTTATAGCTCTCATAGTTTTCTGCATATATAGGAAATTAAGAGAATGGAGATAAATTGCAAGCAGTATCACGATATCCAAATGGCTTACCGTGTTGCTCAACGGTTGATGTGCTTGAAATATTCAAACCAAGATGAAGATTCTATCCGGCAAGCATTGCAGAATCTCAAAGCAAATTACCTTAGTGGAGGTTTGTAGTATTTAGCAACAAACCCATAACAAATTGCAGGGAGAAAGGGCCCTGATCCTGCAGTGGGAATCCTAATATTTGTATTTTACTATATTCACATTACTATAACAATGCAATTTTACTTTTCCTCAATATGAACGGTGCGGTGCATACAGGGTGGACAAACACAAACCTCAATTGCCATGGGCACAACATTATCCAATTATAAGCAGCAAACATAAATAAATTGCATTGAACATCAAATGATCCGCCTCATACTCATGTCTCTTGAACCAAAATTTCAAACTAGTGTTCTAACTTTAAATATGTAAACAAGTCCAGACAACCAGATAGAAAGTGACTAAATAGCAAGTAAAATCAGCGATATCGGCGAAGAGAGAGGGTGTTGTTCCTCTTCCAGGTGGCTCTGCGTGAAGGCCGTGCCTTGTGGTTCAAATGTCCCTTTCCACGCAGACCTCTGTATTTCTTTCCTGCCGAAGTGAGACCACGCAGCTCTCTGTGCTTGTGCACAGGGTTGCAGATCCAGTTGATTCTTGGGTCATTACGGATGGCTTGGTGTGCAGCATCAACCAATATTACCTCGAAGTACTTGTAAGTTGAATCCTACATCAAAAATCAAGATATAAAATCACGATTAGTCCAATTCCGGATTGAGCAAAACAACAGTATGAGCAAATCACATCACTAGGTCATACTCATATACCTCATTGATCCAGTACGAGTTCAGCACCTTAAGACCACCCAACTTCCTACCAGCTCGTTCTTCTGCAACTGACCTTTTGCTGCGCTGAAATTTGAGTTGGGTAACACCCTGGTTGGTGGGCTTACCATACACAATACCCTTAGGGACAGGTCTCTTGCGACCACCTCGCCTCACACGAACACGGTAGATAACATAACCCTGTAAAATATAGACAATTATGAACCTTGCCAGTGAAATACAAATATACAATATAGATGGAAGCCTTAGCATTTGTTTGGGAAAAATTATAATGAAAAGTGGTAATGGGTCCCACAGAATATGTGGATAATAAGTAAAAAGTAATCGTGAACGTGATTTTGACTTTAAATCATAGTTAGATAATAATGAAAGCCAGCCAAACACCCAATCTAACACTAAATGAAGATCTCAACATAACTACATATGTGAAACAATTTCATGATATGGTATTATCCATTACAATAATATACTAAATGCCCTCTTACTAAAACTGACACAAGTACATAATAAAAAATAACGTTGTGCATCAATCATTTTGGTTTTTGAAGTTAGGTGGAAAACAATAGCATAGAACCACATGTTATAACCCGTATTTGAACATTTCAAGAATTAGCCTTCAAAATTCCCAAGAATTTGCAGAATATACATTTATCACAATTCTATTTCCAATTCAAAGATAACCATTGAATCCATATTTCCATATAACGAACTAATCAAGCAAAAAGCAAACAATTT